AATCTATGTGACAGGAATCAGCCCTCAGAATAAAGCGTTCTTTGATACGTTATAGCTTTATTCATTCCTCACATAAGACAGCACTTAGTTTTAAAAGGTGATTTTAAAAGGACTTTAGCATTGAGAATCAACCAGTCAAATAGGTAGTGCCTTGTTTATTTCATTTAACTGCCATCATTTCAGTATCTTCCCACCTGGCTAGACACTCCCACCAGTAATGAGAATTCCCCTGGAAGAGTCAACCAAGTAAAAACACAAACTCTTAGAGGATATAGTTAAAATATGCAAATAGCATGAAAAGATGAACAACCTTGGTTATTGGAAGATGAGACTGAAAGCCATTTTATTCTTCCTTCCCCTTTAGTGTTGATGAAATATCAAATTAATCAACTGAAAACTTTAGAAAAGCTATAGTGTTAGAGTGTGTTACAACAGCGGTTGAATGGAAAGAGAGTTGCATTAGGCTGAGTTACAAATATGTGTTTTCTTACTGTCATGTTCCTGGAAGATTCAAGAAAGCTGGGGTGCTTTAAAAATGTTGCAGGACCTAGAAATGAACTAAAGTGGACAGGAAATGATAAACAAAGGCTCCCAAGCTTCTGGTAAGTAGTAACCTCAAAGGAGACAAGAAGTGCATGGTAGCATCAGGCTTTGTAAGTGTAGAGGGTGAGTTCATCTTTGACCATGTGGCGTGGCGTTTGAGACATCTGTGTGTTCAGAGACAATACAATGGTGGCAAGCTAGAGAAATATGATATCAGTGGAGAAATCATAGCTTGACCTGAGTCATAGGGAACGATCCATGAGTAAGTAGTGATTGAACTGTTAGAGAAGATAAGGTGGAACACTGGAAAGTACCAATGTTTAAAAGCTGGATGGAGAACCTACAAGTAAAAATAAGAGGTATAAGAAAAATCAGGACATTTGGGAGTCAAATATACAAGGATCAACAGGTATCAAGGGGTAATATGTAACTGGACAAGAACAAATGCATCAGAAACGGTCAATAGAAACAGGTCAATTAAAAGTAGAAACCATCCATCAGACGTAGAAATTAGCAGGAGCAGATTCAATGGAAAAATGAGACTGTACAAAAAGCCTGAGAAAAATATGGAAAGGAGAAAAAATAAGATGTTATCTAGAATGAAACCAGACTCAATAAAAGGTTAGTTTGAGGACTGAAAGCTGAATAAATCTAGCCAGTGAAGAGGAGTAGGTTGAGATAGTAAGCAAAAGAGGAAAAAACTAATTGATTTGGTTTTGTAAATATTTATGGTGCAGTGATGTTATTCCAGGGACTATGATGGATGCTGTGGCCACACAGATAGATAACCCAGGTTCTGACTTAGATGACATTTTACTTCAGTGGATGAAGGTATCTGAATTGGGAAGGGACAGGACTAGAAACCACATTGTGGAGTCCACCACATGTAGAAGGAAGCTTGCCTCCACCTTACAACACAGAGGACAGGAGAAGAAAACCACAGGCCTAGGGATAGATATGTTTATATTTATGGAGAATTGCATGCTTACCAAAAGGGGGAGGCTTAGACTAGACGTGCAACATGGCTTATAGGAAAGAGAAAGGTTTAAAATCATACTTAAAAGAGCAGAGGAGGGAGCTAATTAAAGAAGATCTTCCTGAGTTACCAGGGTTGTGTGGGGATGCCCCAGAAAGAGTGAGGAAGCCATAAATGTACTATGGAGATCCAGGGTTTCATAGAAGTTTTGTCTGTGGCTGGACCACGACAAGGCTCTAGATAATATAACCACAATAAGGACAAGTTGTGGTTGAAGTTTTTTTTCTTCTTGCTTTTGGTTCTGAGAATAAGCATATATTGAATTATGGGAGTTTGCAATTCCATACCAGTTTCTAATGGGAAAAAAATGTTGTTTATTGGAAGAACCAGGAGACTAGAGAGACATATTTTTTTTACACCATGGATGAAATCCCCACCACCAGTAGAAAAAGACAGCAGAAAAAGTAGTAGTAGAAAAAGAGCTCTAGGATGAAGCAGAAGTTAGAGAATTACTGAGAAGGGAGTTGGAGCAGAATAAGGAGGAAAGCAGTGAAGGATGAAGATTTGGAAGAAGTGATTAGAAAAGATAACCATGTGGCTTTCTTGAGAGTGGAACTCAGAGAAGAAGGAATTTATCATCAGATAGATATTTTCTAAATAAAGCTTTGTCTAGTCTCTAAGGAATAGATGTTTAAGAAAGAGTAGAAGCATGAATATTCATTAGGAGATTATTTTAATTTTACAGGAAAGAGATAACAATGGCCCAAATAAAAGAAATAACTGGACAGATCCCACGTGGAATTTTAAATTAGAGACAAAAGAACTTTCTGAAGCATTGGATTTCTGAAGAGAAAGAAGAGAGAATGAAGAATGACTTCTGGATTTTTGGCTTGAGCAAGGGGGTGAATGTTGGAGCCTCTGATCCAGAGTTCCTGTTTGAATGTGTTATTTGAAATACCTGTCAGCCATCCAAATGGAAGTGTTGAGTAGGTGGTGGACTGTTCAATTCTGGAGCTCAGGGAGCAGTCATAGTGGGAGGGCGGGGAGTCTTAGCACATGGATGGTTGTTAAATCCCCGCAACACTATAAGAGTTCCAGAGGGGCTAACAGCCTCTCATCCTCCATTCTTTCCCTGTGCCCAGTGCTCTGCTAATACAATGCACTTCTCCGCCTCACTGCACTCTATGTGCTGCTGCATTTTTGGAGAATATCTGTGCCTTGTGGACCTGCAGATCTCTCATTCTTCAAGACTTCAAGAAGAATGATGTGGCCCTCATTCCCCAACTCCATGTTAGTCATTTCTGCTTTTATTATTTCCTATAGTTCTGTGTGTAATACGTGAATTTTGTGCTGTTCTTTTACATATTTCTCTTTCACATTTAAAATTAGGCACTTGAAAGGCAAAGATCAAAATACATCTAGTGTTGGGAATAATGTGTGTATATGTGTGTGTGTACATGTTCATGCATATGTATTTGTATCCGTATACACATGGGTATATACATGCATAGGTGTACATATATACCTATGTGCACACAATACTTAGAGAAAATTATGAGACATATATACAATATAGGACAGTGTATACAGAGTCTATATATTTAACATATATAGAATATCATGTATATATGTATACTGTTGGATAGTATAGTACTCCTGGCATTAGACACAGTAATGTCATAACTCATAGACATACAATTTCAATGTGATATATGGATGACTGGATTAAAAACTGAATGAAGTTACTAGACATAAAAAACGCTTTCATGAAAACATTTAGGTAAAAGTTATATTGTACTCAAATTCACATAAAAATAGACTATTTCAAATCCATTTAATCTCCAAAGAGACTACTTTCAAACAGGTAGAAATGTGTGTTTCTAAAACTTTTTCAGAAGCATTATTTCAAACAAACCTGCTCATTTGAGACCTACTTTTTTCCCAGGTGGTAGAAGATAATTGTGACCAATCACTGCATCTAACTCTGTGGCCAGCATTGCCTTTCCTAAATTCAAACACATTTTCAACAGATTCTTCTTCCCCTTCTGAACAAGGCCCACTGCCCTGGTCAAAGGCAGATACAATGACAAGGTGCTGCTAAGCTAAAAAATGAACATCGCAGGAGCCCCTGAGACAAAGGCTTTCTCCCTCCAACTCTCCTTTAATATGCCCCAGTTCCCGGAAACCTTGCCAGGCACCTCTACACAGCAGTTCTAATCACTACCCACTTTTGAACAAAGCCAGAAACGTCAAATTACTTATTTTCTGACTCAGATATGAATGTCATACGAGACTCTCCTATTGTTTTTCTCAGTGCACGGCAATTATACAAGGTAAGAAAAAATGGAAACAAGGAAAACCACTATGGTTTTTGATTTTGTGTCTTCATTCAATGAAGTATTAGGCAGCCTTTCAAGCAGTAATTATGACTACCGGGTAACACTAAGAAAAATGGGCATGCCACATTGTTTGAAGGGAAACAACAATTTAAAACAGATAAACCACATGTATTGTCCTTAAAAACAAGTATGCACATGTACAAATCATGGAAATATAAAAAATAGTTTGTTAGAATGAGACATGGTTTCTTGTTAAATTTCCATAACACTACCAAAATATTGTACCTACAATAAATAAAAATCATAAGAAGGAATTCAAAAGTCAAACTATTTCATATATCATAGTTCAAACAATATAGTTACATGCTTATAAATAAGATTGCCAGGTGTGGTGGCTCACACCTGCAATCCCAGCACTTTGGGAGGTAGAAGCAAGAGGATTGCCTAGGCCCAGGGGTTCAAGACCAGCCTGGACAACTTGGCAAGACCTCATCTCTATGATAAACCAAAAAATTAGCCAAGCATAGTGGTGCATGCCTGTGCTTCTAGCTACTTGGAAGGCTGAGGTGGGAGGATCGCTTGAGCTCAGCAGGTTGAGGCTGCAGTGCTGTGAGCATGCCACTGCACTCCAACCTGGACGACAGAGTGAGACTCCAACTCAAAAAAATAAAAAGAAAGAAAAGAAGATTTACCGTGTAGTAATTCTAAATTAAAAACTTGCTCTCCCTTAGCCGGGCTCAGTGGCTCAGCCTGTAATCCCGCACGTTTGGGAGGCTGAGGTGAGTGGATTGCCTGAGCCCACGGGTTCGAGACCCGCCTGGGCAACTTGGCAAGACTTCATCTCTACAATAAATCAAAAAAAAAAAAAAATTACCCGGGTGTGGTAGCGCGCGCCTGTAGTTCCAGCTACTTGGAAGGCTGAGGCGGAAGGATCGCCGGAGCCCAGCAGGTCGAGGCTGTGGTGGCCGGGAGCGGCCACTGCACTCCAGTCTGGGTGACAGAGTGAGACTCCAACTCAAAAAAAAATAAAAAATAAAAAATAAATTTAAAAGAAAAAACTTGTTCTCCCTCCATTGTGCTTTGATGAGATACAGTGCCTGATAGGTCACAGTTAGTTTGAGAAAGGTGATAAGGTGACTTACTGTTGGTGGCTGCATGTGTAGATGTGAAGTGAAGGGATACCTTTGCACTCTTTAGCCGAGTCTGCCCCCAGTATGTTATGGCCTGCAATTCCACAACATAGTCACAGTCTGGCTGAAGTTTCTCCAGGATCACAGAATTCTGTAACTAGAAATTAATAGAATGTACCCAAACTCCATTACAAATCTTCATGCCTCTCATCTTCATCACAAAATATTGTATGTCATTATGAAGCATACCAACTTCTGATTTTTGCGTGTCTTTTATTTCCTAAGATCGAACACTTTCCTGTATCTTTAGGATCTGAAAATTCAATTTTACTACAAATCAAAATGAATTTCACAGAAAGGTCAAATGTGTTTTCAAAATAATATTCCTAATTCAATTATTGAATCCTCTCAGGAAGCATGGAAATGAATAACTCTGACTACTCTCCTTTCTGATACTACCTCACAAAGAAAAGAGAGCTGCTTATATTAAAGTAACAGAGCTTTATGTGACCAAGTACCAGAACAAATTATGAATCATCATTAATTGTATTTCTTTGATAGTTATTCAAAATCTTCTATGAACAAATTTCTACCAAAAGCTATTAGAAAAATCAACCTGACAAAATGTTTCAAATTGTCTGCCATAATGTGTTGGACAGGGGACCGGGGGGTAGGTGGGACCTATCAGCATTTCATCATGTCACTTTTTGCTCTAGAGTCATGTGATTTCCCAAATTTCAATTCTATCTGCTAATGAGATAAACATGCAATACCTTTACCACTTGTAGCAAAATCCTCCAACAAAAAAGATAGAACTGTCAGAGAATTTCTAAAATAAAGTGAATGTAGTATAACAGATATGAACTTTTAGAGATATATTTTATAATTCTAAATGGCACAAATATTGGAATTTGTACTGCAAAAAATATAGTCTTAGCCGGGCTTGGTGGCTCAGCCTGTAATCCCGCGCCTTTGGGAGGCTGAGGTGAGTGGATTGCCTGAGCCA